GGGCACAACTGATAACTTCTGCCTTCCTGAAATATTCTTTTCTTAGCCTCCAGAAACTCATAGCTCCCCTTTTCCCTCCCCTATCACTGATCACTTACTCTTAATCTCTTTTTTCTGGCCCCTCCTCCTCTGTCTCACCACCAAATGCTCACATGCTTAAGGGGTTGGTCTGGTCCTCTCCTTTCTCTATAGTCTCTCCTGGGGGCTACTCATCCTGTCCCCTGCTTTAAATATCATCTAGATGTTGATATCACCAAATTTAACTTTCCATCTCTGACTTCATCCTGAGTTTGAGTCATATATCAAATTGCCTGTCCCCATAGATGTCATATGGACACCTCAAACTTAATATGGCCCCAAGTAGAGATGAACTCCAGCCATGATCTCCGTGCTTTCAAAATTTTCTCATTGGTTTTGTCTCAGATAACTATTACTCCCCCTCCACTGCCATACTTGAAATTCTGCACATTCCTCTAATAATGTGGAGCTCCTCACAGAATACAACGTATTCATGATGATTATTCCCAACACTGAAAAAATATTTGGTAGTCTACTATGTGCCAGTCACTGTTCCAGTGATTGGGGAGACAGCAGAGAACAGGAGAAAGCCCTGGTTATTACAGAGCTTGCATGCTGCCAGGGTGGTGGAAGTAGGGGATTGGGGTACAAGCAAGCAAATAAACAAAATAATCTATTGCTCAAAAGGGTTAAACAGTAAGCATCAAGAGAGAGAGATGAGGTGGTCAAGATCCCCAAGTAAGGTGATACGTAAGCCGTCTGAAGGATGAGAGATCCAGCTTGGCTGGGGAAAGAGCATCCCAGGCTGAGTGAGGCATGTGCAAATGTCCTGAGGTAGGAATGTGAAACTGAGATAATGCCAGTGACTGAAGTGTGGTGCACTAGAGAGAGTTCTGCAATGAGTCTCGACAGACAAGTAGGGCAAGATCATTCAGAGCTTTGTGAATAGGCCATAATAAGAAGTTTGGAGTTTATTCTAAGTACTACAGGAGTGTTTTAATAGAAAGCCATCAGGGTGTTTTGGGCAGTGATTTTTTGTCACCTTGGCTGTCATGTAAGAAATTACTTGGAAGGGAGCAAGAGTACACATAGGAAGTCCAGCTTGGAAGCTCTTTGAGAGATGAGTGGCTACTGGTATTGTGGTGGGAGTGGACATGGGGAGAAGTATTCAAATGTTTGGTTTATTTGGAGTTAAATCCAACAGGGCTTGGGGGCGGGAAGTGAAGGAGAGAAATCAAAATGATTTCCAGATTTTTGGTTTGGAGAGTTGGGCTGCTGAGCTGGGAAGACTAGAGGAAGAACAGGATTATTTACTTTGATATTGAAATCATCAAGATTGGTGATGAGGAGGGAGTACCTATTTAGTTGCTAAATGGGATTCTGCCTCATTCATGAATTGATTAATAAAGTCAATTCATTGATTATTTGAATCAATTATTTGAATAAAGTCAATTATTTGAATCTTCAAATAAAATTTAAAAAGAATGGTGAGCAACAAAAACCAATGTATCTCTTTCTCCCTTTCTCTCTCTAAAATGAATCAATAAATAAAAAAATGAAAGCCCTGGCCAGGTGGCTCAGTTGATTGGAGCACTGTCCCATATACCAAAAAGTTGCAGGTTCTATCCCGGTCGGGGTGCATACGGGAGGCAACTAATCAATATTTCTCGCTCACTTCTCTCTCTCTCTCTCCTTCCTCTCTCTCTAAAATTGATAAACATATTCCTCAGGTGAGGTAAAAATAAATAAAAAAATAATTTTTTAAAGGAAAAACTCCCCATTCCAAAAAAAGGTAGTATAAAATACTTTAATAAAAAAAGAGGTCAAAATATCACACTTTTTCTTTTCTTTTTTTAAATGTATTGATTGGAGAGAGAGAGAGAGAGAGAGAGAGAGAGAGAGAGAGAGAGAGAATTTGTTGTTCCACTGATTTATGCATACATTGTTTCATTCTTTCATGTGCCCTGACTGGGGATTGAACCCGAAACCTTGGCATATGGGGACGGCACTCTAAGCACATGAGCAATGTGGCCAGGGCCTCTGTGACTGTTTTTATAATGGGCAATTTGTACTTCTTAATCCCTTTACCTTTTTCACCCAGTAACACTTTTTTTCTTACATCAGGTTAGTATTTTACATAGAGATGTGAACAAATCCGGTCATGTAAAGGAGGTGTAGTAAGAGGAAAAATAATTTGAGCAAATTGATTTTAAATGAAGTAACTGGGGAATAAAAAAGGCAAGCAGTTTATATCTGAAAGAGGCCCAATAAGGAAAAAACAATCTATGAACAGATATTCACAAAGGGCAAATTTATAAGCCTTCTACTATTCTCCAAGCCATTGCTTTTTTCAAACAATTTAAGAACACTTCTCAACATTACATTGAAATGTTGGTTTACTTTAAAAAGTAAGATTCGTGTTATTTGAGAAGGGCACATTCAGAAAATTAGCTAAATCCTTCCTTTTTTCCAAGCCTCAGAAACACCAGATAATTTACATCAGGAAAATAGATTCCACTCCAAAAATGAAGAGGTAGTGGCAACTCGAGGCTTCAGAAAGAGCCCAGAGCTATTACTTGAGAAGAAAAAGAGAGATCTTTGAAACAAATTAGTCCAATTAAAAAAAATTGTATTGATTTTTTTTAGAAACAGAGGAAGAGGAAGAGAGAGAAACATCGATGTGAGAGTAAATCATCAATTGGCTGCCTCCTGCATGACCTGTCAGGGATTGAGCCCACAACCTGGGCATGTGCCCTGACCAGAAATTGAACAGGCAATGCTTCAGTACATGGAGGGACACCCAACTGAGCCACACTGGCTGGGGCCAAATTAATCCAATTTTGCCATCGGGTTCTTTGGTGTAAAGCAGTTATGATTTCAAATATTTCATTAATATTGGCAACACCATAATATTTTGTATCTTCTAAAATAAAGTTTAAAGTTTGTTTCTGTCAAGGTACTTATAGCATTCAAGCCTTTGAAAGGCATCCCTTAAGAAACTTCTGGTTCATACATTCAGGGCTGAATACATTATTTGATATTTATATAAACTATGCTTTATATATACCCTTTTTTTAAATTGTTTTTTATTCTCACCCGAGGACATTTTTCCATTTGTTTGTTCAGACAGAGTGGGAGGGAGAGAGAGGAAGAGAGAGAGAGAGAAACATCGACATGAAAGGGACACATCGAGTGGCTGCCACCCACACAACCCAACCGGGGCCAGGGACAAACTGCAACTGAGGTACGTGCCCTTAGCAGGAACTGAACCCAGGTCTCTCTGGACCAAAGGCCGATGCTCTAACCACTAAGCCAAACCAGCCAGGGCACTTTATATATACTCTTAAAAAGCCTTACATTTAGAAAATGCCATGTAATTGTAAAGCATTGCTGTGCTTAAAATCCAACACATTTTTACTTTCTTTTGATAACAGGATGTATTGCCTCACAATAAACTTTTATTTTCAGAATAAAACATCATTACTTAGAAAACAGGTAACTCTGTGTTTGCTTCTTAACGCTTATCAATAGCACTTCACAAATTTACCAATTTAAACCTGTTTGCAACTTTCATTTCCAGTTGTTTATGTGAAAAGAGGAATATTTTGATATCAACAAAATTAATGAGCAAAGAATTCAGAATGAAAACAGCCTCTTTCTAATGGTCTTAGAGCTCTTTTACGAATTGTAGTTAGGTGTCCCAATCATTGTATATGGAAGATAAAGCTTCATTTTCCTTTCATTTAGAAAATCAACTTTCCAATAAACTTACTGTTTAGGTGCTTCTAGCTTATCTTTAAAGGGAACCCTATTTTGGTTTGAAAACTTTCAATTTAACTTTCTTTACCTTTTTTATTGATTTATCCCTGGTGAAAATCCTGCAGATTTTAAGAAATCCCAGACATCAATTTAAAACTTTTCAGAAAGCTAGCTTCAAGTACAAGAACTCTTTTTGGTCGAAAAAGGGTAATGATTACACTTACAGACAATATAATGAAAAAGCATCAATGCAGTTTATTTCAATGCTTCTAATTTATGAGAATAACTTCTTAATGCTACATCAGAAGCCGATTCAATACTTAATTTGAAAAGCATAAGCAAGAAAGACCCAACATTTTATTGGGACTACACAATTTAGCACAGTACTAGAACAAAAACAAAAACACAAAATTGAAGAATGAATGATAGACATTCTTAAACTCCGGGGATCAATGAACCTCCCAAAACTGTATACAAAAAGTTGTGTAGTGTGTGCCCTTTTCTGGGGAGAGGTCCCACAACTCCAATCAACTTCTGAAGGGGCCAAACAGTAAAGTAGAATTCTAATTTCCTTCCCTATATTTTCAGTAATAAAAGCTGTGGATGGACCTCAGGAAGTTCACTACTGCACATCTAATAGCCAATTTTTATGGAAAGAGGGTAGAAATAAAAACAAATAAAAGTAACTTGCAAGGACTGGGCAGGGAAAAACTCCAAAGTGCTGTTTACCTTATAAGTTTAGTAACATGTTCTGGTTTAGAGAAATAGGGATCAAAGTGGTAATATAAATTGGAAGCAAGGAGACTCCTATGGGATTTTTCAAATCCTTAAAAAACTAACCTTAAGTATGAATAAAGCAATAGCAAGAATTTAAAATGCAATTTAACTCAAGTCCAATGTTCAGTTTCTGCATATTAACAACTTATTATTATTATTTTTTTTATCCTCACCCGAGGACATTTTTGCACTTATCTTCAGATAGAGCGAAAGGGAGAGCAGGAGGAAGAAAGAAACATTGATATGAGAGAGACCCATCAAATGGCTGCCACACACACGACACCAACCAGGGCCAGGGACAAACGGTAACCGAGGTTCCTACCCTTAGCAGGAACTGAACCCAGGACTCTCCGGTCCACGGGGCAACACTCTAACTGCTAAGCCAAACCGGCCAGGGCTTATTTTTTATTTTTGAGTATCACAAACTTCAATCAGAATACTTTAAAAAAATATTCTGCATGCATTTAACAAATCTGACAAAGGACGAGTATCCAGTTTACTTGCATTATACTATAAAGTTTTAGCTGAATGGCCAATTAACATATATTTAAAGTCATTAAGTACAGGTAACAATGAAAAAGTCAATGCATTAATCTGATGGCATCCTATCACTATACAATGTTCATTAACACTACTAGTAATTACCCTGGGGCATAGGCTAAATGTAGATGGAGGAATTTCCCTCAAAAGCAAGTTTAAGGGATTAAATATCATCATCATCACTACTAAGGATAAAGCTGCTGCCCGTGGAAAGGGCCCCTTCTTCCTGAACATTCCCCAAAGCACCCACAGTCCCTTTCTCATCGGAATCATCAAACAACTTCTCACAGGAATCTTCTTCAAACAACTTCTCATTGGACTCGTCATCTTCGAACATGTTTTCATCTATACTTTCTTCATCCTCCTTTGCATCTACTTCATCATCTTTTTCATCTAAATATTCAAACATCTTTTCATCTGCATCATCTTCTTCCTCCTTTTCATCAGCATCTTCAAATCCTTTTTCATCTGCATCATCTTCTTCATCCTCTTTTTCATCAGATTCATCATCAAACACTTTTTCATATGTATCTTCTCCTTCCTTTTCATCTGATTCTTCATCAAACTCTCTCTCAGAGCCTTCATCATCAAACACCTTTTCAGAGCTGTCATCATCAAATTCTGATCTTTCAGAGTCATTTTCTTCTAATTCTTTTTCGAGAACATTTCCATTAAACTCCTTGTCAGAGCCATTCTCATCCAACTCTTTTTTTAGGCCATTTTCTTCAAATTCTTTTTCAGAGCCATCTTCAAAGAGCTTTTCAGAGCAGTCTTCTTCAGATTCTCTTTCCAACACATCTTCTTCAGACTCCTTTTGGGAACTGTTCTCTTCTTCAGACTCCTTGTTAGAGCCATCTTCTTCAGACTCTTTTTCAAGGCCATTCTCTTCAAAATCATTTCTGAACTGCTTGTTTTTGCATTCTCTTCTGGGTCCATTCACTTTAGACTCTTTTTTAGGACTACCCTCTTCAAACTCTTTTTTGAGGCAGCCTTCCTCAGACTTTCTTTCAAGGCAGCATTCTTCAAACTTTTTCTGGGGGTAGTTTTCTTCAGCCCCTTTTTTGAGAACACTTTCTTTAGCATCTTCTTCAAGTTCTCCCCCATCTTCTGTTTTTTCAAACTTCTTTTCATCTATAAGTTCTTCAAATTCCATTTGAGCTGCAGCTTCTTGAGCATTCATTTCAGATGTGCTAGGGTGCTCTGAAAAATGCCTTACTCTAGAAGGCCCTGCCCTTTCTGAAGCACAGATGGAATTTGAACGCCGAAGACCTTTATTGGCCTCAGGAGAATTGAGAAAAGCCTCCCATCCTTTTAGCCTTTCCTCCCTTTCTCTTGTGGTCTCCTCCACCTGTGCATAAATGGAAATTGCCATTAAAATAAGTTTTAGGCAAAAAGTAACAACATCTCTGAGCATTTCTAATATTGACAAAAAACTATCCTCATTTTATAAATCATTGCTTTTAAGTTAAGGAATTCAAAACAATTCCCTATCTTCAGTTTTCAAAACTTTACATCTTGATTTACTAGAGTTCACTTTAAGATCATTTAAATAAATGCTAAACACCACAGTACTGCAGAAATGTCTCGTCAATTAAAATGTTAATATTTGAAATCTGCCTGTACTTTACAACACAGAAAGGAAGAGAAGCATTTTGGTTAATGTGTTCTTTTCTTATCACTATTCTGAGCACGCCTCAAATTTCAGACTTGTAAACTGAAAGGCTGAACATTTTTCTTTCTATGCTCTGAATGCAACATATTATTTAAAAGTACTACTATTACATTACACACATTAAACCAAATCTAAAACTTATCTGAAGGACTGCTAGATTAGTGTTTGTTGGTAACAAATTATTTTCCCCTAATAGTTGCAGAATTTACCTGATAATCTGTAGTCCCATCCCACACTTGGGCAGTGATTTGACGGCCACCAAACCACCGTCCATCGAGGGTCTGAATACAATAATCAGCTTCCTCTGGATCCCTGAAGGACACAGAAGCCACCCCATCGGGGTGTCTCTAGAAATACAAGAAAGAAAAAGGAATAAATGAGAAACTTTAAAATAAAACATACACATTAGACAAGGTAGGTAAGTGGTAGTGTTCTTTCTAATAAATTGAGTAAAATATACCATGTACCTTTCTTCCCTTTTACCCCAGCCAGTAACACACAGCTAGATGCTTCTTTAGCTTAATCTTTTCTAGCAAGAACCAAGCATGATGTTCTTGAAAATGTTTCTGCTGATGACACTGTCTAGGACAGGCAAAACAGCATAGTTGTTAAATGTGGAATCTGAAGATGAATATCCCTGGGATTCAATCCTGGTTCTGCCACTTAGCAGCTGAATGACCTTGGCAATGTGCTCAATCTCTAAACTTTCAGCATCCTCATCTGTAAAATGGGTATAATAGCACCTACCTACCTCAAAGGATTGAGGATTAAATGAGACAGCATGTAAAGTAACTTGCAGTACGCAACAGTGACTCTTTTATTTACTATGTGTCAATTTTGGAAGTTAAAAAAAAGGGTGAGAAGGGGAAACATCTAAGATAATATTTTTCATGATTGTTATTCTCCAAATATAAAGAAGAATCATTTAAGAAGGGGAAATGTGGGCAAACAGGGAACCATACACTTTTCTTGTACTTTCTTTACCTGATCATTTACTCTAGAATGATGATAAAGAGAAATAATCACAGCACACCAAATCTATCAAAGACTTGACTTACAATACATGTCCATCTAATTATTGTTAACAGATGACATCCACTAGACAGAAGACCTACTATATAAAATTAATGTAAAATTTGGAATATACTAATATCCGGTAATAACTTTTAACTAGAAGAATGATTGCTTCAGAAATCATTTGTCCAAGCCAGGAACTTACATCAAACAGAAGGAGCTTCCTAATTTGTCCAAACTTTGAACACTCTACTCGAAGATCTTCTCTGATCTCATTCAGCACCAATGGATCATCCTGCAAAAATATATGATTTAAATGAGCTTGCTCCTTTCTTTAAATCCTGATAATCAAATTTCTTGTTTTGACATACCAACAAATAAAAAAGGTTTTGCTTTAAGTGGTTTGTCTGTAGTCTACAAAATTAAAAAAAAAAAAAAAAAAAAAAAAACCACCCCAGAAATCAAGTGAAGTCAAACTTCCATGGCTGCTACTACTACAGGTCTGCTGTGCTTTTAAGACAGAAAAAAATGAGCAACTACAGTTGGCAGCAGTAGGAGTGTACAGTGGCAGAGGAGGGGGAAGGAAAGTGGAACTGAAAATCCCAAACAATGGCAGCTGTAAAGGCAGGACAAGTATTGTGGCAAATATTAAATCTGAGACTTCTAATTACTATGTGCTGCATGGACATAATGAATGTGCCAAGGAACCCTTCGCTTTGTGTTTTGCAAAGATTCTTATGTACAAAAATGTTGTAATGGGGAGAGATATACCTCTTTCAATGACTGTTCTAAGATTGTTCTTTGTGATTTCAAGTTCTATATTAACTCATGGGGTAAAACTCCTTTACAAAGATTCCTGTTCATCTTGTCTCCTACACATTGCAACAGAACCACACAACTAAGGAGATGATATTAAGCAAACCATAAAAAATGTTCTTAGCTGTTGCTTGCTTGCAATTACAAGTCTATTAAGAACACCCAAGCACTACTGTTGAGTTCAGGTGGACTACCCCCAACCCCCCAATAAAAGGTTTTAAGATTTCCTATAGGAATTAACAAATCTTTCACCAAGTCCCAATGCATGAAAAAGGCTCATAAATGTATTATCAACTTGAATTGTAACTACACGTAAATATAAACAAGTATATCCTATGAGTTTCTTTTTTTAATTTTATTTATTGACTTTTAGAGAGGAAGGGAAGGAGAGGGCAGGAGGGAGAGGGAGGGAGAGAGAGAAACATCAATTTGTTGTTCCACTTATTTATGCACTCATTGTTTGATTCTTGTATATGCCATGACTGAGGATAAAACCCAGTCAGGGCCCTACATACAAATTTCTATTGAAGTACAAGACATACATTTAGAAAACATTTAAATTGATCTATTTCATAGGATTTTATTTTCCTCACCAACTAAAGAACTGCAGAAAAGTACAAAAATGGCTTTTCCCTCTTAAAGTGCTCTCAAAAAGCAAAAATAAACAACTGGTAGGCAGTTATTAAAATCAAATTTAAAATAAAAAATATCCTATAAATTTGTGGCCACTAAAACTACAGCTGGAAGGACTCTGGATTTCTCCCACTTATAAAATCTAATTTTAGAGAAGCCAATTTGTTTTATATATAATTATCAGACCTGAGAGGAATGGGGAATGGAACATAAAAGTCATTTGGTAAAGTCACGTGCTGGCTTTCCACGTGTGTGTGTGGTTAGCTCCGATCAGATTGTTTGCCTTCTCAAGGGCAGGAATTGTGTTTAAATGAGTTTTGTATGCCTCACAGAACATAGAACAATCTTTTACACATAATGAAAAGTCAATAAAAGTTTTCTCAGTTTCATAAATTATTCCTAGTACCTTTACTTTATTCACTAAGGGAAATTAGGATTATATTAAAAACAAACACTGTTTCAAAATACTTCCATTGTGGGAGGAGGAGAGCACCATCTTTATGTCTATATCAACATCTAATGCTTTCCTTATAAGGATATCAAATTTTAGCCAGTTTTCCCAGACTTCCATTTTTATTTATACTAGTTTAAAATAACTTATCTTTACTGGTTTATAGTATCCTGTAGCTTAAAGATAATAATCCCCTGCTCTAGGAAAACTCTTTAAACATGGAAATTTTCTAAAGACAACACTTTGCAAGCAACAGACCTAAGACTAACCATCAGACTGATAAATTGACACCTCTTACAGTCAATCCTCATAACTTTCCAGAGTGGTGTTTTGTTTTCCTAGGAAAAAAATAAACCATATATATATTTTTTAATTCTCACCTGAAGACATGTTTACTGAGAGAAAGAGAGAGAGGGGGGGAGAGAGAGAGAGAAAAAAAATCGTTGCCTCTAGCACATGGCCCAACTGGGTATCAAACCCACAACCAACCAGGAATCAAACCCGAGACCTTTCTGTGCATGGCATGATGCTCCAACCAACTGAGCCACACCTGCCAGGGATCAACCATATTTCTTAATCCTTTCTAATCTAAATGTATGGTATTCAAGACAGTGGACACTAATGGTATGTGGCTACTAAGCACTTGAAATGTTGCTAGTTCAAATTGAGGTATGTTGCAAGTGCAAAATGAACACTGCATTTGGAAGATTTAGTACCAAAGGAAAAAAACCAATATAGCTTGTTAATATCTTTAGTTATGTTGAAATTACATTATTTTAGATAGACTAGGTTAATTAAAATTCAGTATTAAAATTTATCCTCCTCTTTCATGTTACATTTTTATTGTGACTACCAAAAATTTTTAAATTACATATGGGGCTCACATAATATTTCCATTGGACAGTGCTAAGATACACAATGAGAAACCAACCTTTGCATCTGAGTTTAAATTCTTCATCTCTTGGTATTCAAATTTTCCAGGCATGCCTTTTTAAACAAGGCTTTGAAATAAATGCTGAAACCCCTCTGAAGTTACATTAAAAATAATAGCCTTAACATTGTTCACCCTGATACCAAAGAGTGTTTTTAGGTAGTTTGCTTCCAACACTGGTCACCTGTTTGAAATAAAAATATATTCCACCCCCCAAAATCTGATTTCTTTCTGACACCCCAGGTAACCTGAGAATTAAGATTAAATGTTCTTAAGATTAATATGAAATCTTCAGGAAGACGGCAGCAGGCAGAACAGGAGGGAGAGTGAGTGTGTGAGAGAGTGTGAGTGGACATGAAGGTGGACAACGAAACTCGTACAGTGCAGAGACACAGAGCACAAAGTTCCTGTGCTCTGGACAAGCAGCCAGCTACCATGGTAAGCGGCTGTTCGGGGCGCTTCTCAATGCACTGCGGGGAAGTCCGAACATTTTAGGAGATCCTGGGTATTCCCTGGGAGGAGGCAGTGGGAGCGGCTAGGGCCCAGCGACCTAAGCCCACCAGAGCACCTGGCACCATCGGACCAGTGGACACTCTGTGTCAATACAGACCAGTGCACAGTACTGGAGCTCCCAAGGCGCCGGTTGTGGAAGCCGCGGACAGCCGGGAGCCTAGCACCATCCCACACAGTAGCAGCCTGATCAGGGTCGAGACATACCCCCAGCAACAGAGGCTGGGGAGAAGACTTCCATCCCCACACAACAGAAGTAAAGGCCAGCAGCTGAGACTCATCCCCAAAAACTACCGCAAAAGCTGAGCAGGAGTTGAGCCCAACGGGGCAGCAGCACTCCCCAGCCGCCAGGGGCAGGACCTGGGGCTCCACAGAGGCCTGCGAGGTCAAGCAGCACACAAGAGAGGTGGGAAGCCAGAGCTCAAGAAGGACTGGTGCGATCCAGGTAACCACCCACGGGACTTGCAGGGTGCAGGGGCACCAGAGAGGCCTGTGCTACACAGCAGGGACTGCGATCCAGTTACCTACAGGACCTGAGGGGTGCTGAAGCACCAGAGAGGACTGTTCGACCCAGCAGGGACTGTGAGATCTGGTTACACGCAGGACCTGCGAGGTACTGAAGCACCAGAGAGGTCTTGAGACCCAGCAGGGACTGTGCCATCCAGTTACCTGCGGGACCTGCAGGGTGCTGAAGCATCAGAGAGGCCTGTGCGACCCAGCAGCCCATAACATAAGCATAGAGCTGAGTCCCCAAAGGGACTGTGCAATCCAGTTACCCACCGGACATGCAGGATGAGGGGGCAACAGAGAGGCCTGTGCAACATAGCTTGGCACAAGATAGGCGTGGAGGATGTGAAAATGTAGGCTGAGTGAATGGAAGCTACACAGACAATCTCCCAGGACAAAATGGAATTTAAAACTGAAATAAAGACAAATCCTCGGAAAAAAATCAACAGAAAAGCAACAGGAGAGGACCATATAACCAGGAATACTGGTAGGATCTGCGTAGGCACGAGAGGGTGGTGGGCTGGGTGCCCACGGACAGCAGCAGTCTTAGCTGTGAGCAGCACCCTTGGGGAATAAAGACCAGGCCCACTCTACAACACAGAGAGCCTGGACAGAACGCTAAAATAGCCACAGCCACTCACCTGAGGGCTATGGCAGAGGGAGGGCAGACTGGGCTGGAACTCTGTGGGGACAGCCGGATTTGGAGGGCACTCAAAGTTTTGCTGAGTTGTGGCAATAAAGAACAGTGGCCAGCGTGCTCCTTCCTGGAGCTGTGGAGAAAGGCAGCAGCCCCCACACCAGGAGATTCAGTTTTTCCCAGGTAAGGCAAAGAAATGCAAATCAAGGCTCATTAACAACCAGCATATATCCAACCCTCTGGAAATCTCCTTATGCAGAACACCAGGGCTACATTCCAAGGCACTGAGAAACTGAGACTACTAGCCACCAGGAAAAAGCTAGAGGTTACTGAACCATTCCTGGGCTTGCAAATCTACCCAGGAAAGTAAGACTTGACAGTGGTGTTTAATGTGGGCCCCCCAGGCGCATCCAAACACAGTAGAGGGAGACACAAACAGCAGAACAACAACACCCACAGGGAAAATTTGGCAGGCTTCAACACCCACTGAGATAGCCAAAACGGTGAAACAAAGAAACAAATCCCAAATGAAAGAACAAGAGAACTCTATCGAAGATGAGATCAATAAAATGCAGTTAAGCAAACTATCAGAGGTAGACCTCAGAGCCATGATCTTGAGAAAACTCAACAGCATGAGTAAGAACATAAGCACCATGAGTAAAGATATAGAAACAATGAAAACCAACCAAGTGGAAATGAAGAATGACATAGCAGAAATAAAGAACATATTGAAGGACTAACGAGCAGAGTAGAGGAAGCTGAGGACCGGATCAGTGAATTGGAAGATAGGGTAGGAAAAAATCAACCAAT